GGATTTCACCCACATAAAAGCCCGGGAAGGCTCATCCAGTTGCCTAAGATCTTGGGAAAGAGGTAGGAGGATGTAGAAGAGGAGGGTGATGTGAACACAGCTGGCAAAGATGGTGAGAACAACCATAAGGAAAAATGCAGATTAGTCCAGAAGTTGTTTTAAAGAAATAGTTTTTTTAAAAAAAAAAAAAGAAAGAAGGAAAGAAAGAAATGAAAGAAGGAAGGAAGGAAGGAAAGAAAGAAAACCTTTAGCGACTAAATTTTGCTATTCTGTCTTCTATTTGTGCTGCTGCTATGATTAGGTCTTTTGCCTAATGGAAAACATTTCTGTGTTTGTTTTTTGTTTTTGTTTTGAACTTGGGTGAGTCATTTTGTTTTAAGTATCAGGGAATTTTCTTTTCAAAAAATGTTTTATCTTTTTCTTCACTGTACTAGGCAGAAGTAACTCTGGATGTCTGTTTAAATTACATAATGTATATTTCTATAAAATGAAAATATTTATAGGCTTGCTTTTCCTATGCCTCTATCTCTTTTGGTAAAGCATCATTTTAGCTCTCTTTCTGCATCTGCCCTTCCCCCAGCATACATACGCACGCTAGAGAGGGGAGAAAGGGTCTTTGAACAAAGAGAACTGGTTGCAGAAACATCATCTTGTCAGGTAGCGTAGGAAAGCTCAGACAGGAGAAGACAGCAGCCAGCTGCTCCACTGCCAGCCCCATCCAGCAGCATCAGGGGTTGGGGAAGTCCTCCTCGTGGTAAGGAGCTGCAATACCTCACTCTGGACAGCCTGGGAGTGTTTGGAGGAGACAAAAGGCCAGTGAGGGGTGCACTGTACCTCTGACCTGCTTTCTCAGTTCCACACCACTTCTTGGTGTGGCCGCAGAAAGTTTGACTTTGCATGTGTAAACAGTAAGGGGTTTGGCTACCTGCAGTTATTATTGCTGTATACTTGAGGGGGGATTTTGCAGGGAGCGGGAGCTGAGATGGGGGGCTGTGGGAGATATAGCATTTGTTGGCATCTGGAGGCTGAACTTCCAATTTGCATTCCAAGCCTTCCCAGCCATTCCCTGCTCGCTTAGCACCATTACCCTACTTTTTTGGGTCTCTGCACTTCTATTTCGTACCTACACCTGCTATTTTTTTCTCTTCGTTTCTCGAGCCTGGGGAATACTCTTGCTCTTTCTGACTTTTTGCTTTATTCAGGCGACACACCATCTGTCTATTTCAGTCAGAGAGCTAGATGTCAAAGTCACCAGCACATTCAAGGTGTCCTGAGGGAGAATTCTGGGAGCAGTGATCTGTCTGCTCATAGGTATGCAGGAGCAAGGATGGGAGGTAGTCTCTGGAGGCCTTTGTGGTATTATTTCCACTAAACCAGTGGTTCTCAAACTCTGGGGTGAGACCCTGTTGGGGGGTCAAATGATCCCTTTGCTGGGGTCACCTCAGACCTTCGGAAAACAGATGTGTACATACAATTCATAATACTACAAAATTATAGTTATGAAGTAGCAACAAAAATAACTTCATGGCTGGGCTCCCTACCGCAGGAGGAACTGTATTAAAGGACTGCAGCATTAAGAAGGCTGAGAACCACTGGACAAAAGCTACATGACTGTGGTTAGTGCAGGGATTCCTCCCAGTATTAAGACAAGAGTGAAAGGTTTCTGACTGCACAATGACCAAGAAGCAATCCCAGCTGAAGTAAGATGAATGCAAGCTGTTTCTGAAAGTGCTCACCTAGGTGGCATCTGGAGACGTCACTGCAGTGTTGTGCTAAACCCACAGCACATGCAATTTGCATTGTGCATGCTGACATGTCACACCCTTGAAGATGTCTGGAACACCTTGATTTAGATTTGAGACCATTCTATGTCATGAATTGTAGTCTTAAAACATTTGTATTATGATTTTATTTATTTTGTGTGTGCACATGTTGTGGGAGGTTGGGGGGAGTATGTAATATACTGTCCACTGGGAGGTCAGAGGACAACTTTTGGGAGTTGGCACTCTCCTTGTTACAGGATGGATCCTGGAGAATGAACTCAGATTGTCGACTTGCTGAGCCATCTTGCTGGCCCATTTGCTGTGTTCTTATTATACATGTTTGCCCACTTTTTTAGAATTGTAATAGTTTAATTATGGAAAGCAAACACTTCCAAATATTTTTCTGTCATCATCTCTCAGCATGTTAATATCAAATTGGTGTGTTTTTGGATTGTATTTTGTTACAAATACTAGCTCATCCACCTTTGGTATACATATTTTCTCCTTAATACATGCACCATTATATATACCATAATTGTTTTAGAAAGTATTTCCTTATGATGTTTATTAGTGAGTGATTTATATATATATTTATACCTAGTGTCATATCAAAATTTCTTTTCTTTTATTTATTATGTATACAATATTCTGTCTGTGTGTATGCCTGCAGGCCAGAAGAGGGCACCAGACCCCATTATAGATGGTTGTGAGCCACCATGTGGTTGCTGGGAATTGAACTCAAGACCTTTGGAAGAGAAGGCAATGCTTTTAACCTCTGAGCCATCTCTCCAGCCCTCAAAATTTCTTAATGGAAAAAGGATTGTGAGTGGAAAAAGTTCAAATGGCCCCGATCTAGGTCGGGGTCTACCAGGCAATTCCTGGAGGCAGACCTCTCTGAGAGTGCAGTGTGCCAGAGGGGAAGGACCCTGGATTTGGAGTGTATTTCCAATGCTTATAAGCTTTGGGACGTGAGGCTAATTACTTACCTGGGCTCCTGCAAGGATTAAGTTTTGGATGTGTGTGAAACCTGTGTTAGCATGGGGCAGCAGAAACTGTGGAGAAAGTCAGAGTGTCCCAGTTCTGCCGCTTAGAGCTGCACACCCGGGGCATGTCCCCAGCCTGTTTGAGTTCCATTTCTGGTGAGTAGACAGTCGCAGTACTATACCTTAACCATAGAGGGCTAAGGAAGAACCAAATAGTAAGTATTACTGGACTAATAGTCACAAATCCCTTTTGCTGCTCACTTACTTTAAATGAATGAGCATATATACTTAGGGAACTATTTGTTTGCATAAAATTAAATATATTTATTTAGTGATCATATCTACATATATTTAAACTATTAGAGCTAGGTATGGCAGAGAATGACCAAAATCTAGCTCTTGGAAGGCCTAGGGAATACTGTGTTTCAAAGCTAGACCGTCTTAAAACAAATCACAAAGAAATTGTGGGTATCAGAGGCAGCATCGGTGGCAAAGCTGCCTGAGCTGAGCTGCAGCTGTGGTGGTATTTGTTCGCAACCCTATAACTAGAGAGATGGAGACTGGTGGGTTCCGGAAGTGTGATGGCCTGCCAAAGTGCTGGCTTTTTATCAAGGCTCCTTCCCAGGGAGTAGACGGAGGATTTGCATGACAAGGTCTCCTTGAACCTGGTTTACCAGTTCAACAAGACTAGCTGGCCAGGAGCCTTGGGATCCTCCTCAGTGCTAGGATTACAGCTGTGTGCCATCATGCCCAGCCCTTTATGTGGCTTCTAGGGACCTGAACTCAGGTTCTCATGATTGGACAGTAAACACTAATTCAGCTGTCATTCTTATCTTCAAAATCCATGATATTTAGGCAACGGTTGATGTAGAAAGAGTACAGGAGACCAAAGGTATTCAGCAGACATCCTGCTTCTTAAGTCCTGATTGGCCAGTGGAAACAGTCCCCATCACTGACTCTGTGATCTTACATTAACTAAGCCCTTTGTATGTCTACGGTTTTACTGGTAATACTAGTCTATCATTCCTGAAGGGTTGTTGCAGGCACATTATACAGATGGCAGTGAATTTTGTGTGCGTGTGTGTGTGTGTGCGCGCGCGTGCTGTGTCCACAAATTGGCAAAGGGTTTGGATTCCTCTGAAACTGGAATTTTAGGTAGCTAGAAGCTGCTTGTGGGTTCCGGGAATGGAACCCAGTTCCTCAGGAGGAGCACAGGCACTCTTGACTTCTGAGCTTTATGTTCATATTCCAGAGAATTAGGAGGTGCATCCACCTGGACTAGATCGCGAAAAGCCTGTAACACAGGGATGTCATTTAGCTTTTCTTGGCAACTTTTTGACCTTTGTGTGTTTTTGGATTGACAGAATTGTTAAAATAATTATATGAGACTGGATTATTTTCAGCACCCATGTCAAGCGGTTCTTAGATGCCTGTAATTCTAGCTCCAGGAGAATCTAAAGGTTCTGTTCGGGTACCTGGATTCACACACACACATACACACACACACACACACACACACACACACTTTAAAAACAATTAATTTTGCAGATAGGTTTCACAATGTGGCCCAGGCTGGCCTTGAACTTGAGGACAATCTTTCTGAGGCTGGGATAACAGGTGTGGGTTACCATGCCCAACTTTTGGTGGGCTTTTTTAAATATATTACACATTCTGTGCATGTAAATGCCTGTGTGTGCCACAGTGTAAATACAGAGCTTAGAGGGCAGCTAGTGGGATCCAGGGATTAAACGCAGGTCCTCAGACTTGGCCACAGACATGTTTACCTTATCTCTCTAGGTCATGAGGGGATTCCTCATGAGAATTAATGAGAAACACAAAAACAAAACATGCTGCCTGACCCATCCTAAGTACCTAGTAGTGTGAACTCACCAGCCCCGAACTAGCTGTCTAATTACTTCTATTTGAAATTTATAGTGTGCTGATGTTGAGGTAAGACCACAGACTGTATCATGCTGGGAACAGGAAAAGTGTAGTAAACTGTTTCTTACACACTTTTGCATGTGTCTGTTGACCCTTTTGGGTAGACAAGTACGGAAAAAAGGGATCTGACCCAGAGGAAGAGGGTGGCTACAAGAGCATCTGGTCTACCCCTGACCACTATGTATTTTGTATGTTGGTGGCACCCACCCCAGACCCCTCGTGGGCACAAGGTTTCTGGTGTGTGTGTGTGTGTGAAATTGACCCTATAAAGAAATCCACAGAGGCAAAAAATCTCAGAACACCAACTTGTAGGTACCTTTTCAGACTAAGCTTTTATTTTTTTGATATTACAAACCAGTTTTCTTTATTCACAAACCACTGTAAGTGATATAAACACTAATTTCTAAAGACAGATATACACATTTCTGGGTTTGCAGATTGAGTGATGTGTGTTAAGAAGTCACTATATGCCACATTAATCTTTTTTCCATAATTCATAATAGCAATAGTTATTTAGATAAATGAAAACATTCCAAATAAATACTGTTTTTTTAAAAAATCCAAAATGTTTGTTTACACCTCTGACATGACATTTTAAAACGACTTATATTGGCAGCTCAGCAGAGTGCCTAGACAAAAGATTCTGCGACATCGGTTGGCTCCCACTTGCTCTAAATGAGTTTATTAAAACTACAGACACTTGTGGGGGAAAGTACATTTCATTGATGAAAATCAAAACTGCAAATGAGTTTTACTTTAGCCAGCACAGTAAGAATTCCATGTTTGTGATTTCATACACAATGCAGGTTCTGGGCTGAAAGCTGGGGCGGCTGGGAGGGATCCGTTGTCCCTTCTGCAGCCCTGTTTCTATCACTATCTTTATCCCATTGGGGTCGAATGCGACAGCACGGCAGTAAGTTCTTGCCTTGGGTAGCATCGACCAGGTGCACACATGGCCATCCCACTGAAGCAGGTGGGAATGGGCATTTTCAAGACTTGCCGCAAACAGTCTCCTCTCAGCCCTGTCTCTCCCGACTCCGAAGGGAGAGAAAAGACCAAGCTCTAGGTTTTTCTCTTCTTAGCAGTTCAGCAGATTCTCTCCCTTCCCCTCCTCGCCCTTTCCTTTTCTTCCTCTCCCCAACCATAATCATCTGTTTTAGGTATCGAAGCTACAGAAACTTTGTTTTCAAATCTCACGAAACTTTATTGATGGTTTAATATCCAACCGATCTTACGGGCATGCACGTAGGATGACTAGGAAAAGCTGGATCACAAACACTTTTTTTTTTCTTTTTAAACTTTTGTTTGGTTTAGATTTTTTAAAGCGGTTGTTACAGCGGATTGGCAGGTTCACAGCGTGAGTTGGTACTTACTAAAGTGCGCGCCATGGGCCTGCTCTGCACACACAGGCGGTAACGCTACTCAGGGAGACAGCTTGCTGATACTTTATAATTTAAATACAAAAACGGGAAGACCCATGACAGATACCCCAACTTAAGTTAACTTGTAAACAGGACAACATGGTGGGGGATTCAAACAGAAGAAGGTTACAAGCTGCAATTTTTCGGCTGTGCTGCTCTGGCCCTGCGTCCAAGAAAGAGGGGGCAGATGCTGCTCTCGGGGGGAGGTGGGTGTGGGGGAGGGTCTAATTTTGGTTTTTGTCTCATTTTTTTCTTTCCTTCTGACACAATCCTCTTGGGCCTCGGAGACAGAAGTAAAGATGCCAGTTTAAGATAACCCTGGGGCACTGGGGAGAGGGGAGGGTGGGCTCTCACAGACTGAAAAATTGCAAGTTGTTCACAGGCGTCATGTTTTCAAAAAGTATCAAGCTGATGAAAATACCATGGTTATCTCTATTCAATGATCGCGATACTTGTAAAATGCGACTATAAATCCAGATATGATTATCATGTAATTCCATAAAAATTATACGTCTGTTTCTAACAGTTAATCTACTAAGCTAAAACTAAAGCCTCAGAGACTGTTTCTAGAACATAACTCCACTGCACAGATGTAAATTTTATACATATTTTTAACTGGTACAAAGAATTTAAGTTTTTATTACTTTCTTTTTTTTGGAAAAAAAGAAAAAAATAGAAACAGTGCTTTTTTTAATCACCTTTTTATTAATGTTAATTTTTCCCTCCCATAATATAAAAGTCAGCAGTGATATCAATAATTTCTCATACTGGAAGAAATATAAAAAGAATGCTTATTGATGGCCTAACTAGTAGTCTTTGCTTAAATAACTAGTGGGTAGGTAAGAAGCTGAGTACTGCGGTGGAATGATAAGAGGGTGGACTTACACAGCTTCCTTCGCCTCCAAACTCAGTGCCATAAGAAGAGGTTTCTTAGCAGAGCCTTTGGCTTGACTTTGCCAGGAGTAACTTAGAACCATAGATTTAGGATCGTTGGTGCAGTGGGTCATTTTAGATTCATCAGTTACTATATATATCTATGTATATATATAATTTTCTTTCAGTCAAACCCCAATCCCAAACCCCTAAGCCCCTCCCGGCCTCCCCTTTCACAGAATAAAATAATATAGATGCAGAAAGAATGACTCGTCACCTAGACTCTTCCCAAACACCTTAACCCCGGTAGCTTCGTGGTCAGCATATAATTCATTTACATAATATAGAACTCTGGATATGGCCCTAAATCGGTTTTTATTCATATCTAGCCTCTCTCTAGATCAACCACAAAAACTTCTACAGCCAGCGACTGAACTACGAGAACCTTCAGAAACCAAAGACCCACAATATTAAAATACACAGAACAAAATATCTGAGGTATAAGATAAAAAATGTAATTTTTTTTCCTCTTTTTATTTTTAGTTGTTTTCTTTGAGTTGCTAAAATGATGTCCTACTGCGTGTGTTGCAACACTCAGGCCTCGGGAAGCTTTCTCTCTCCCCACACTGGAAGGTTGTTTTTGTTTGTGTTTGTTTGTTTGTTTGCTATGATTTGTCATTTAATATGGAGCAAAGCGGTTGTATCCCCCTCGGTATATACTAGCCTGCAATGAAGAAAGAACGAGACCCACATCATCAGCATGGCTCCTAGTCTTGGCATCAGTCAAGGGCGCAAAAGCATTCTGAAACAAAGCAATTTGAGGGGTGTGGTTTTTTACATGTTTCCTTTTGTAACATGTGGATCATCAAAAAGACTAATGTTAAAAAAAATAGACACTCAAAACCAACCCAAATAGAGGGCACCCCCTTCCCCATTCCAGGACCTATTCAGAAAGCTAATTGGTATATGGTCAGTCCTGACCTCTCCCAGCAACTCCTTATGGAGAACAAATCCCCAGGAAACTGAATGGATCCACTGATCCTACTAGCAATGAGGACTCCAGTGTACAGACGGGACGGTGGATGGATAGGTACTGGCTCATTTTACTGGTTTGTTTCCTTGGTGAATGGACGGATTGACCAATACGGTGCTCCACTGGGAGAAGTTCTATCTACAGTCAGTGATGAGTCTAGACGGTTTGTTGGATGTAGGGATTCGGTTCTCCTTTCCTCCCTTTCCTCAAAAGGCCTAGGTGTTGAAATGGGGTTGTTGAATGCCACATTGAAGAAAAAAAGGGGGGAGGGGATCTGGTTAGGAACTTTTGGGTTCTGATGTTGTGGTGGGGGTGGAAGAGGGGCACTGCTGGGTGTGGTTAAGCTTGTGTAGACGTAGAATAGTAGACTTTTCTAATCCTGTTTGGACTTTTATGACCCAGGGTCTAGGGATCTGTCTGACCAGAGCTTTCTACGGCTATGAGGTGACCCTTAACCGTTTCCTTTTGCTAAAAGTATTGGTGATTCCAATGGATGCCTGTGGGGCTGATTTCTTAGGAAGAGGACTCAAGCAGAAGACTGCATGCCAAAGTGCTGGAATGATCGCATACGCTCTCACGCGATGGGCACGTCTTACTGGACTCAAGAGTTTTAGTGCATAGAAGTTTGAACAAGTACAGGCAAATTCACCCCACCCTTGCCCCCCACTTTGCCCTCCCCTTACCCTTCCCAAAACAAAAATAAAATCCCAGACTTCCCGTCCCACCCAAGGAAAAAAAATAAAAACAAGACAACCCCCAAAGCCAGCTGATTCCTTAATTTCTTGTATACTAGGCACACACACAAAGTGTGCTCCACTCTCTACTTTCTCTCCTGGGCGACTATGACTTTAAACATGAATTGTAAAAGGGGAGGAGAGGCAGGCAGATTCTCAGCTGCCTGACAGCAGAGGCCTGGAAGTGTGCAGCTTAGCTCCTCTGAAGTCTGTGCTGGGGCTGGAACCTTGGGGCTATGTGAATGAGCAGCACGGGAGGGAAGGGAAAAAAAAAAGAAAAAAAAGTTCTGCATTGACACTGCATTCCGTTAGTGATGGATTTAATTATCAAAATGACTAATTATTCCATTAAGGTAAGTGCTCGCTAGGTGAGACTTGCAAAATTAGAAATATAATAACTTACATGCACTACATTGCCAAGAAATTAAGACATTTATCAAGTTTACTGGGAGGATTAATGTGGCATTTTAGCTGCTGTTAGCACAAGAGACAAATTCAATTAAGAGAAAGTGAGAGGACTTCAACCATCAGCCCATACTGAGGCCCCAGCTGGGGGTGGGAGGGCAGGGAGGAAGGAAGGAAGAGCAGAGGGCAAGGAGGAATTGTTACTCACCATGGCACCAACGCCGTAGGTGGGGGCTGGAGCAAGTGTGTGGTGGTAGGGGTCGGCAGCATAAACTCGTCCGTAA